AGGGTCAGTGCTGAGGGAGCGCCGCGCTGTCGCAGGGTCAGTGCTGAAGAGTCCACCACTTTCTTAGACTCATTCTTGCAGTGTAGATGTGTGATTTTTTTTCATTGTGTATGTGGAGATTTTTATCTGCTGACTGTGATTTTGCAGGTTTCTCTGGAAGGTCTGCGACCCACCATCCCCCCAGGAATCTCCCCTCACATCTGCAAGCTGATGAAAATCTGCATGAATGAGGATCCAGCAAAAAGACCAAAGTTTGACATGATTGTTCCAATAATGGAGAAGATGCAGGACAAGTAGACAGGGATTTGGAAAACTTTTCCTCTGTTAATCCCTTCCTGTCAGCCTTACAGCTTCCTGTAACCACACATAGCCTTCACAGGACTATCCTGCCACAAGGACTCCCATTGTTCCAGGATCTGATTCGAGACTTGGGAGTTTCAGAAACCTGTTCCTGTCTCCCTTTGTTTACAGTGTGTGTCTATTGCGGCATTTTCTCTACCTATTTTATATTGTTGAGAATTCTGTTCACCCCTGGAGATACAAGGCCTTCACTCTCATCCCATCTGCCAAAGAGGAGAGGACCAATTAGCCAGGATTCCTGCTTATCACTAACCAGTGATCCCGAAGTTAGAGAGAGATGGGAAATCAGTCCGGATCCCTGCTAGTGATCCTAATTGAGAGAGGGTGGGTCCTGTTGCTGATCCCTGTCCAGTACTTGGCCCTGTTAGGTAGCAGTATCTGCAGAACTGGTCCAGGACACTTCTCTGTCTGTCTGTGGTCATCCAGGGTGTTGTGGAGCATGACCCTGGTTCCTGTTTTCATCAGTGCTAAACAACAATATTCTAAAAAGTCAGGTACGGTTGTTTGTTTTATAATTCATTGCCGTTTCCTAACCTGGCTGTGCTCACAACTGTACCTGTTTACAGTGATTGTGTGTCTCGCAGCCTTGTCTTCCTGTTTTCTCACCTATCTACATTATGAATCTCCTGGCTCCTAGTCAGCCTTGGTTGCAACCTGTCCCCCTTCTGAGGCCGAATGTGACCCATGTTCCAGATGGTGGAGGGATAGCCATAGCGCTGTCTGTGTGACTCCTGTTCCATGGCCCTTGCAGTTTATGTGCCATTCTTGCTGTAGAAAATGTGAAGACCTTGTGCCCCATGCTGTCACCTGTGTAATTGTCAATCTTCACTAACCTGTCTCCTTGCTGTTGCTACCTTCTGGCTCCTGAACACATTAACTCTGAATTCCTGGCCGGGCAGCATTACTCAAATGGAACTTGCTAATCATTTATGTAATTTATATAACACTTGTATTTCTGGTTTCTTTCAACAAGTCACTGCTGTTTTATTGAAAATATAACTTTATGGACTTTACATTAAAGAGAGACAGATTTCCAATTTACATCGTGTAATGGTGCATCAGTTAAACAGGTTGAAACCTCCCCGTCCTCAACCATATCCACACCCAGTCAGAAAGTGATCTACATGAACAGTCCCCCTGCAAAGTTACACAGAGCTTTCAGCAAGTAGCTGACCACTTCTGACAAGGCAGCACTCCCATTGTGCTCAGTCCTGGACAGTAACCATCCAACTTAACAAAACTTGCATTTATATAGCACCTTTAAAGTAATGAAACATCCCAAGTCATTCCACAGGGGAGTTAACAGACAAATTTGGTATTAATTATAGGAAGCAGTAAGAAAGACTTGATCAAAGCTTTCAAGGTGCCCTAAAGGGACTAGGTGTTAGGGAATTCTAGAGCTTGGGACTCAGGCACCTGAAGGCTGAGCCACCAAAGGTGCAGCAATCAGTGATACACAGGAGACCAGAATTGGAGACAATGTAGGGCTTTTAGTGGGTTGCAGGAATGGAGATTGCAGAGATAGGGTGGCTATAGAAAAGTCTGGAAATGGGGGATATATTGGAGCCAGTGAAGAGCTAGAGTCAACCTGCTTCTTCAATGCTTAGGTCAAGTTTGGTTGACAGCACCACGGCCTTCACTACAACTAGGGCAAGGTGCTCAGTCGTACAATCACACAGCTGGAATAGGGGAATTGAACCCTGTGCCATTGGCAGCGACCTTAACCACACCAACCTTTCAGCCAACTGAGCCAACCAACCCTCTCCCACACCCCACCCCTCCCCGCAAGAGGGTTTGCTGCAGCGATGGACCCTTGTACACAAATGGTGTAGCCTGGAATAATGGTAAATGCTCCAGTTTTCATTTTGTCGCATGGCTGAACAGGAAGCTTCTATTAACGCAGGTTGATATTCAGTCTGGTATGGTAATTTGTAATTTGGCAAAATGAATGGCTCTTGGATACATGTAGTATTCAGTGCAAAATGGATGAATTAATGGGACAAACAAAGGTGAATGGGTGTGATCTTATAGCCATTATGGAAACATGGTTACAGGTTTTGGCTGAGAGGATTAGCGTGAAACCAAAGAGATTCTTTAAGTATGTAAAGGAAAAAGAATAACTAGAGAGAGAATAGGACCCTTCAGGACCAAAGTGGACATGTATGTGTGGAACCGCAGGAGATGGGCGAGGTCCTCAATGAATATTTCTCCTCTGTGTTTACCGTGGAGAAAGACATGAAGACTTGGGAACTTGGGGAAATTAGTGGCCACATCTTGGGGACAGTCCATATCATAGTAGCGGTTGTGTTGGAAGTGTTAGAATGTATGAAGATGGATAAATCTCCTGATCCTGATCAGAGGCTAGAGAAGAAATTGCGGGGGCCCTGGCTGATATATTTGCATCATCGTTAGCCACGGGTGAGGTTCCGGAAGACTGGAGGGTAGTGAATGTTGTGCCCTTGTTCAAGAAGGGCTGCAAAGAGAAACCTGGGAATTATAGACCAGTAAGCTTAGCATCTGTGGTAGGTAAGTTACTTGAGAAGGTTCTGAGGGACAAGATATACATGCATTTAGAAAGACAAGGTTTGTTTAGGAGTAGTCAGTGTGGCTTTGTGCGTGGGATATCATGCCTCACAAATTTGTTTGGGTTCTTTGATGAAGTGACCAGGAAGGTTGATGAGGGAAGGGCAGTAGATGTAGTCTACACGGATTTCAGTAAGGCCTTTGATAAGGTTCCACATGGTATGCTGCTCTGGAAGGTTGGACCACATGGAATCCAGGGAGAGCAGGCAAATTGGATACACAATTGGCTTGATGGTAGGAAGCAGAGGGTAATGGTGGAAGGATGCTTGTTGGACTGGAGGCCTGTGACTAGTGGTGTGCCTCAGGGGTCGGTGCTGGGCCCATTGCTGCTTGTTAGCTATATCAATGACTTGGATGAGAATGTACAAGGCACGATTAGTAAGTTTGTGGATGACACTGAAATAGGCAGTATCATGGACAGTGAGGAAGGCTATCAGAAATTGCAGCAGGATCTTGATCAGCTGGGGAAGTGAGCCGAGAAATGACAAATGGAGTTTAATATAGACAAGTGTGAGGTGTTGCATTTTGGAAAGTCAAATCCAGGTAGGAGTTTCATGGTGAATGGTAGGGCCTTAAGGAGTGTAGTGGAACAGAGGGACCTTGGAGTTCAGGCACACGGTTCTCTGAAAGTGGAGTCACAGGTAGGCAGGGCAGTGAAGAAGGCTTTTAGCACACTGGCCTTCATCAGTCAGGGCATTGAGTACAGAAGTTGGGAAGTTATGTTGTAGTTGTACAGGACATTGGTGAGGGCGCACATGGATTATTGTGTTCAGTTTTGGTCACCTTGCTATAGGAAGGATGTTATTCACTGGAAAGAGTGCAGAAGACTTTTACAAGGATGTTGCCAGGACTCCAGGGACTGAGTTATGGGGAGAGGTTGGACAAGCCAGGACTTTTTCTTTAGAGCATAGGAGACTGAGGGAGGGGGATTTTATTGAAGTGTATAAGATCATGAGAGGCATGGATAGGGTGAATGCACTCCGTCTTTTTCCCAGGGTTGGGGAATCGAGGACTAGAGGGCATCAGTTTAAGGTAAGAGGGGAAAGAATACATGGGGACCTGATGGGCAACTTTTTTACACAGAGGGTGGGACGCATGTGGAATGAGTTACCAGCGGAAGTGGTTGAGTTGATACATTAATAACATTTAAAAGGCATTTGGACAAATACATGGATAGGAAAGGTTTAGAAGGATATGGGCCAAGTGCAGGGAAATGGGATTAGCGAGGATAGACATTTTGGTCAGCATGAACCAGTTTGGGCCAAAGGACCTGTCTCCGTGCTGTAGGACCTTATGACTCTGAGTAAGGAGATGAAAGCAAAATTTTAAGGGGTATGAGACTTTTTAAAGGAAAGAGTGATGGGGTAGAATTATTGGTCCGGGATGGAATAATTACAATAGCAAGAAATGATTTTGGATTGGAGGATGTAATATCCATACAGGTGGAGGTAAGAAATAACAAGACGATGACACTTTAGGAGGTGTCTATAGACCCCCAACGACAGTAACTTTATGGCGGACCTAGGATAAATCTGGAGATAACAAGGGCATGTTGGAAAAGATGGTACATTAATCACGTGACTTTGATCTTCATCTCGGTTGAGATTATCAGATTGGCAGAGGAAGCCATGAGAAAAAATTCGTAGTGTATTCAACAAAGTTTCACAGGATGCAGTGGAGTAGCAGGGCTGTGTGTGGGCTCTTGCCCGTGGGCTCATCTGCTCCCATCTGCATTCTGTTTCTTTCTCTTTTTACTTCTGCTCTTTTTCTTTTGTTTTTCTTTTCTTTGGCGGGTTAGTTGGCAGCGTTGGTGTGGCAGTGAGAGAGCAGGTCATGCGCAGAGCAGCGGTGGACACAGCTCTTCCCAGTGAGTAGAGGCAGTGGCAGCAAGGACATCCTCCTGGTGTTTGGGGCTGGCAATGGCAGCAGGCTCTTCAAGATGGCAGCGCCTGCAAGGTGACATTTTGGAGGAGGGTGGCCAAAGTGGGATCCTTGGTGTGGCGGTGGCCTAGCCTGGCAGGGGAGCCAGGGACTCTGTAGAATCCCTACAATATGGAAGCAGGCCATTTGGTCCGTCAAGTCCACACCAACCCCCCGAAGAGCATCCCATCCAGATCTACACTCCGCCCCTATCCTTAAAACCCTGCATTTCCTCATGGCTTAATCCAATTAACTTGCACATCCCTGGACATTGTGGGCAATTTAGCATGGCCAATCCACCTACCCTGCACATCTTTTGACTGTTGGAGGAAACCGGAGCGCTCGGAGGAAACCCACGCAGACATGGGGCGAGAATGCGCAGATATCACACAGACAGTTGCCCAAGGGTGGAATCAAACCCGGGTCCGTGGCACTGTGAGGCAGCAGTGCTAACTACTGAACTGTGCTGTCCTAGTTGCAGTAGTTCTACAGCAGGGTCTCCTGGCACTGGTGAGATGGCAGCAGCGTGGTATGCCTGGAGCAGGGTCTCCTGGCATCAAGGCAACAGCAGAGCCAGGGAATCCTGATTGCGGAGCGAGTGTGGGTTCAGCACGGACACATCGAGCGGTGGGCTCAGTGGCAAAGAGATGGCACCTAAAGAGTGGCAACTCCTACATTGTTGGGTCCATGCAGGTGGCAACATGGCGATGGAGGAGGGACAGCAGGTGTCGCTGGTGAATTGGCTCAGGACTCGTGGCGGAGGCAGTGGAACGAAGATAAAACTTTCTAACCATTATATCTTTTTACTGTTTTCATTCATAAACTATTCAAAATGATGCTGGATTGTGGTGACAGTTGAAGCTTTTCACTACATTTTACTGTATTATTCACTGTAAAATACAAGTGACAATAAATAAATTGTCATCATATGTTGTAGATGTCTAATGTGGCATGCTTAATAAATTGTTAGAGTAAAAGATCCCTGAAGAAACTGATCATAACATGGTAAAATTGAGCATTCAATTGGATAGGGGGATAGTTTGGATTGGAAATAGCAGTGCGAAGCTTAAGAGATAACACAGTGTGGAGCTGGAGGAACACAGCAGATCAAGCAGCATCAGAGGAGCAGGAAA